ACAAGCCGGTTACTGTGGTGAGCTGCTGCAGCCAGAGTGCACTGTTCATGATGCGTGTGTGAGTGTGTTTGTGGTGAAACATGCAGTTTGTAATCGGGGGGGGGGGGGAGGATTGGTGGGAGGGTGGGGAACCTAGTGGGCTGTTAGTGGGATGTGTTTTAAAAAAATATTTTCTATGAATTTGAGTGAAAATGCAACACAAAAGTCTCCCGAGGTCCCGGGTGTGTTTTTAAAAAGTTAAATAAGCATCAGAGGTGGGGGAGTTTTATTTTGAAAGTGCAGGCAGGTTGTTTCCTGGACCTCAGGAAGTGACGACGTTCAGACTGTGCTGCATTTGAAGCTCCGTTTGTCTGTGGATGATCAAACCGCGTCCGCACAAATCTCTCATACTTTTTCCGTTTTACCATCGATGCGTTTCTCAAATTTCTATTTCAATTACAAAAAAATATATTTCATCGGGAAACTTGCTTTAATAATTACAAACATTTCATTTTATAAAACGAAGCAGACGTTTTAAAATGTGAATATAAAAAGATGTTTAAGCAGAAACTGACGAGAATTAACGCTCAGAAAATTTGAAATTGGTAAATTTAGAACTGAATTTTATCAAAAAATACAGGAACAATATTATAAATTCAATCTGACGCCTGCGTTGTTTTGAAATTATTGATATTCTGTGATACAGACGTTTTCTAATTTACACCTTTAAGGATTCTAGTGTCTGTTAATGTCCACATTTAATTTAGTGAGAGATTATCTAAATTTAATTTAAAGAGCTTGATGCAATGATTGAAAACTTTTATTTAGCCGAGATCTTGAAATAGAGGAATTAAGAAAAAACAGAGAAAAATTACTTTTAAGCTCACGATGAATATTTATTTCCTGTGACCTTCCTGAGACGATTAGCAGACAGAATTACTGCCACTAGGCGGCGCTGTTGGCTGGAGCCTTTTGAACAACCACAGACAAAGACGAAGCCGTTCACTCATCAGGTCGCTGGCGTGTGCGTCGTTAATGTTGGTGAGATGATGAGTTGATTTCATGGGCGTGAAAAAGCCAAATGACGTGTCTCCTTCCCTTTAAAGCCAACACCGCTAAGCAGAGCCACGGGGCAGGAAGGGGGCCGGCAGGCGGACCGACGGCTGGCCTCGCCCCCCGTCCCAAGCAGCAACCAACCAGACACAAAGGAGGCGGCGAGCGACAACACCAACAGTACTATGATTGGCTCTGATGGGTCTCAATCTGCAGCGAAAATCGGTGGCGTGATTATCGATTGCTTTTTTCTGTTCGCTAGTGCTGATCGGGGGGGTGGGGGTGGGGGTGGTGGGGGTGATTGAAGGAAGAAAATAATTTCCTGGGGACAGGAGGAGGTGTTCGAACCTAACAACATGAAGAATACAAAACAAATACTGATTCACTGGAGGAGAGGGAGGGAAATTTCCACAGATATAAAAAACGAACAGGAAATGACCGACTGACGAGAAATTTGAGAAAAAAAATAAATTAAAAAACAATTTGGACAAACATTTAAAAGTGGAAAAAAGTCGACGGTGGAAATGAAAAGACAGAACTCGTCTACTGAGAAAGAAACACAAGCTAGAACTAAACCATGGAGTAAATGAAGAGGTGAGTGAATGAGAGGGAGGTATGGGAGCTGTAGAGGGCGCTGTGGCGAGCCTGACTCCTCCCTCCTCTCTCTGCGTCTACCTTTAAAGCCTCCCGGGGGCACGGAGCTGGGTTTGGCAGGAAGGGGGGGGCCTGTACTGTTGGAGTTGTTGACTGGCGGCTGGAACGAGCCAGACAGGAAGATGCCGTCAGAAAGAGGGCGGGGCTTGCGCGCAGTGGGCGGCGGCTGAGGCCTGCTGTGATTGGGTGAGGCGGAGGCCGGGAGGTCGCCATACGACTTCCGGGTCGCCGACAGCTTCACCTGACCCAAGTGCCCCCCGCCGCCGCCACTCCCTGCTCGGGGGGCTTCCTTGCCTTCCTCCTCGTCCTCCTCGTCGCCCGCGTAGGAGACAAACGTGGCGGTGTAGAGCGTGTCGGGGGAGGCGACCTGGGTTTTGAGGTAGGAGGTGTTTCTCTGTGGGGGGGGCGGGGGGTTGTTAGTAGGGTTGTTGGGGGCGGGGGGTTGGTAGTCCCGGGGCAGCGGGGGCCGATACAGACCGGCCGGGTCGTCGGGCGTCAGCAGCTTTCTCTCGGCCTCCTCGTGCTGCCGGCGCCGCTCGGCCTCCAGGCGAGTGTAGTACTCCGTCTCCTGTCTCCTCTAGGGGAGGGACAACCTGTTAGTACGCTCCGCTCCCATTGGCTCTCACCTCAGCAATGGACACGGACTGACTAATCAGCTGCTTCCTACAACTGGGGCAACTACAGCACGGCCGCACTTCATCCAATACATCCGCTCACTTCCTGACCACGCCCACCGTGTCGACCAATCGGAGCTGACGTACACGAGTCGTCGATCAGAGGCATCATTTACTGATTCCATTTAAAACTAGATTTATAAACACTAGTCTGTTTTCGTGTAATAACATATCAGTGTTATTTATTTCTTTAACACAGTTCACTCAGGTTTTATTATTTATTTATCTTATTCTGTGTTTTCATTTTATTAGTTTGTTTGTTTTTGAACGCACCAACGAGCGGCAGCGTCTCTTCCAGCGACAATCAAAACTTTCGGATTCTTATAATTTCATTGAAACTTGAATCTGTTCTTTATTCAAATCAATAAAATCAGTGTAATCATTTTTCCATCTCTGAACGTGTCGGACTGATCACCAGGTTGTTTGAGCTTTAATTTTAGATTTAAGCGGAAAAAAAAAAAAAGTCACTTTTCATGTTTATCTTCATGATTAGTTGGATTTATTTCTCTAGTTTGTGAGAGGAGGCAGCTCTGGAAACCAAAACCACATCTGCTTTTATCCAGATGTGGTTTGAAAACCACTCGACTCAGCTGAACGTTTTTCTTCTTTTAAGGAATCGATTTATTACGGATTAAAATCATTCCGTGATTGTGTTTCAGTAAAGATTATTATTAAAACAAAACTAAATGATGCCCCTGAGCGACGCAGACGGACGAGTTCTCCCACACTTCGTCTATAAACTCCAGGAATCAACGGTGGGAATGAGAATTTATCTTTCCGTTCATCACAAACTTCTTTATCTTACAGTCGTAAAATATGAAAACTTCCCTGAAGTCCACCGACCTCACACGAACCCAACAAGCCCCTGAACGAAGAACCTGATCTAACTGTTCCTCCTGAAGTCCTCAGACCACCTTCAACCATCTCCCCTCCACTGGCTGAAAGCGTGTGTGTGTGTGTGTGTGTTTATGCTACATGGTTTGTGGTTGGGGGGGGGCGGGGGGCTCTGGTATCTCACACTGTGATGTTACACATGAATCTACGCTGCAGGAATGTGTTTGGATTTCTGGGTTTGGAGCTCGACCAGCCGTTCCGGCTTCACGTGCGCTCGACCTTCGATGCCTCTGACGTCAGATTATCCTCACGTTGTCGTGCGTCCTCGCCCTGAGCGCCTCTAAAGGACGCAGCCACAGTAAACACTCTGGAGCTGTGTCCCGCCTGCGTTTGATGGACGAACCAGCCCAGTGGGAATCTGAAGAAACTGGGAGGGATTAGTGGGTGCGTGGGTTTGGATGAGCGGGTCTCTGATCATGTACAGAATGGATGACGAGCATGAGGCGGATGGGTGGGTTTAGATTTCTGTGTGTGTGTGTGTGTGAAGATAAAGGATCTTGGGAACAGTGGGAGGGTTGGCAGCATTCCCTAAACATATCTGATGCGATGCTGGATGGAGATGGCGACAAAATAATAGAATAAGGTAAAATATAAGATAAAGAAAAAAAACCTCACAAAATCATAACTAGTCCCCGCCCCCCTCCCAAAACATTTAAAATAAAAGATATAACTTCCTGTCACACACACACACCGACAACGACACAATGGGAGTCCCATGCTTTAGGAGGTGGGAGCACGAAACATGACACGGCAACACGTCACATAGGGTGGGGGGGAGGGGGGTGAGGACATGCAACTGGACATATTCACAATTAACAATAAACAGTTTCAGAATATATAATATTATATAATCAACATTCACTACATCATAGAAATCTTTCAAAAGAAAATGATGTTATAACTTCAATCATTTCATTCTGTCACTTCCTCGGACACGTTCTAATTCTACTTTACGTTTTATTTTAAAATACACGAGTCTCTTAAGTTTCAGCGTGGGTTGATTTTTAAACAACTAGTGGCCTGATCGGGTTTGAGCGGCTCACAGGACAAACGCACCACAATAATAATATCATGACGGTAAAACAACACGAGGATAAAAAGCACGGTGTATGTTTAACACACAGATGGATGAGTGGACACCAGATCAGACCACTGGTTGATTAAAGATCCGAGTTGTACGAGACGTATTTTAACAACATAAAATAAAATAACAATAAAAAAAAAAGGATATTTACCAAATAACCCTGACAAAGAAAAGTATTTAAACACCTTCATCATCATCGGTGCACTTTAGAATTACACTGACATGTAGCAGCTATTGTTTTTAAAGGATGACACAATAACTTGTCATAAGTAAATTACTGGTTTAACTATATTAACAGATTTTTATCATATTAAAATGACGTAAACGTCTTTTCTAAAACTCCCGGTGCTGTTTTTTCAACTTCACACAATTTTCCTGACCAACAAAGATCGTTTCATGTTTGTTCTGTCGACACGACATTAATGTGACACAATCACTCTTGATCAAAACCGACCTTTTCATCGGCCTCTCGTCTGGCTCGCTCCTCCTCCCTCCACATCCTCTCCTCCTCCTGCTTCACTCGCTCATCCGCCTCCCGCTTACGGATCTCCTCCAGCTGCTGCTTACGCCGCCGCTCCTCGTCCTGCAACTGATGACGCACACGCACACGCACACACACACACACACACACACAGAAGAAGAGGCCAAAGGCACACGGGGAAGGACACACATGCAAACAAGAAGACAGTCAGTACAACATGAATTGTGCATCATTCATACACAAACCCTGAATACACATCTGTTTAACTGCTCCGACACTAAAGTGCGCTAACGTGTTGTGTTCAATGTTTGATTCGTCTCACAGGACTGCTCCAGAGGGGAGGAGCACTGTGCACTGCAAACACATAGCACACTCACACACACACACAAACTGCAAATCATGCAAAAACAACATGCGACAACAGCAACCAGAGGACGGCAATGCAAAAACAACAACAACCTTCGTTTCAGCCACTTCAGATGCTCTTGATTTTGTTTCATCAAAGTTCCGACTGACGAGGAGACGGAGGATAAATCAAGCGCACCTGAGGGAGCTGTGAGCTGAGCGGGCTGCAGCAGAAACATTCTGACCGTCCCAACACAAACCCAGTGACATGTGGTGACACACGAAACAAACAGACCCTCTGACCCCCACACACACACCTGGTATCGCCACGTGATCCCGTCTCAAGCAGACCGCTCCGGGTGCAGGTGTGAACGCACTCGGAGCGGATCCACATCCGGAAGTGGTCTGGGACCACGTGTCCAGATTCTGCGTGAACACGAATGCGTCCTGGTCCGCGTATGAAGGAACGACAACTGAGCTGACGTCCTCTGACTGTCCACTTGTGATCGGATCACAGAATCCACATGTTAACACCAGGTGTGCACGGGGCCTTCTCTGGTCTGGTCGGCGATTAAAGGGTCAGTTCAACCAAATTACAAAAACAACATGTTCCCAAAGCTGCATCTGTCCGTGTAAACATCGCACGATGACAAAGGGACTTGTTTGTTTATGTTTTTCTGCCGTCACTGTGGAGGAATGGAAATTATATTATATTTGTTACTCTGAGTTTTGTAACTGAGTTACTGTGTATATATATATATTAGTTTATATTTAGCGTTTTATATTTTCTAATACCTTTTTGTATTAATATCTATTAATTTCATTTATCTTTATTATTTAATATTTTCTCAAAACTCTTTATTTTACCAGTTGTATTTTGTTCTTCAGATACTTTATGTGATGATGTGTTTACTTATATTTATATCATTGTAGTTTTTATAGACAGTTTTATATATAATATTGCATCTGTATGAATTTTAAATTTAATTACAGATTTTTTTTTAAGTATATTTAACAATAAATTAAACCAAAACAATCTGTATGGTTTTACTTATTTTGTATTATGAGTGAACAGACCCCTTAAAAAGAACATAAAGAGGCTCAGCTGGTCACACAGATGGACTGATGGACGGATGGACTGATGGATGGACGGACGGACAGACACCACAACATCATGACCTGCCCCTGCACAGGCAGCACCGGGGGCTCACAGGACTCATGCACGGACTTTGACCTGGACGCCCCCGTGTGATGACTCCAGCCATGCAGGCGCCACCTCAGTATGCACTCAAAACACCACTGCTGACACACGTCGCTCTGGCCTCCGCTCTGCTGCTGTTAGCGTGGATTTGTTTTTTACGATCTGGAGAAACACCAGTGTTTAACGTTTGTCAGCCGCACCTTCACTCGCCGACCCTCCCCTCCCCCCCCCCAGCAGTTGTTTTGAGTGGACAAAGAGATGGACAGCTTCCAACAGCCACACAACAACAAGCATCCCAGGACGGCCTCTCCACGAACGGCTGCTCTGGAGCTAATCGTGGCTCAGTCCAGACTCCCACACCAAACCCCGCCCCCTCATGAAACAACGACAATAGTCCAGATGGGTGGGGAGGGACAGAGAGGAAACATGGGCAGGTGCGCGGCCCAGACAGAAAACAGGAAGTGATGTAAGGGCAAGGGGAGGATACTCGTCATTAACAGGAAGAACATACCAAGTCTAGAACAGAGATAGCTGGGACAGCAGTCTGCTGCTGAAGAAGAAGAAGAAGAAGAGATTTAAGAGTGAGAGAAGGAAGGAGATAAGGAGGGAGGAAGGAGGATACCCAAATACTGAAAGGGAAGGTGTACAGGATAAAAATAAACTGGCAAAAAAAAAGGAAGGAAGAGGAAGGAGAAACTGAGGAGTGAGAGAGAAATAAGAGAAGGGAGAGGGAGGACAAACAGTAAAGTAAACATTGTTTTTCTCCTTCGTCCAGATCCCAGCACTGCTCCACTCACTGTCCTCGCCTTCCATGTAAATTCAGTTATTGATATTCCTCCAATTTAAAATCAGTCATCTACGAATGATGGCCAAATAAAACAACCATTGGAAAATTTAGTTTGACCCCAACATCACCTAGATTATAAGGTTTAAATATAAATATTCATTTAGGAAAATATCTGTGATACCTAAACTAAAATAGTGACTTAACTCTGCCGTGACTGGACTGTTGACTGTAAACAAGGCTGAGTTGGATAAAAACAGAAGATCGGTTTGGAGGTCGAAGATTCATTTTACACAAAAAACATCCATCACTTGTAAACCGATAAAAACTGAAAGAGTCTAGAAAGAGTAATAAGAGAAATACAGCACGAGTTCTGTTGAATCGTTGCCCAGAATCAGTTAATAAAATAAGTCATCGATCTCCAGGATGTCGAGAACCTCGATCGAAACCGGAGCAGAGACGTTGCGGCCGTGGTTCATTTTTGAAATGCAACACTCATCCTGCATTTGCATCATATGGAAAAATAAAAACAATCATTTTAACCGGTTTAAACAAAAGTTCAGCTCAGAGGGAAACAATCATCCGTTTGATTTTTCAGTGTTTCAAACAATAATTTAACTTTTATCTTAAAAAAAAAAAAGCAGAATGTTGTTTTGATTGTTTCCACATGATGCAAACGCAGCATTAAAGGCATCCTCGCTCGCCTGACAGGCCCCTCCCCCGCCCCCCCATCCGCCCCTCCAGCCAATCAGATTTAAGCAGCTCAGCATGGCAAAGCGATGACAGAAGCATGTTGCAGATGCACATTGCAGGACATTCATAGTGGGAGCGCTGCCGAGGAGGAATCCACTTCCACTTCCAGTTTGTGAAAGACGGCTCTGTCTATCCAACCCCCCCCCTCCCTGCTCAGTCTGACTTCCTGTGGCTCGTCCTTCCTCGCGTTCTGGACGAGAGACTTGAAAAGCTGAAGTCAGAAAAACCTTCACATAAACTTTCTGGCGCCTTCGACACTGGTTAAACTCTCCTCTTTTCTCCAGTCTCTCCACCTCATTCCCCTCCCCCCACCTTCACCTCCACCGCCCGTCTCACCCTGGCTCTCTTCTCGGCCTCCAGCCTCTGCATGATCATCATGGTGTCCACGTCCTCGTCATCCTCCTCCTCCTCGTCCTCGTCGCTCTGCTTGGACTCCTGCAGTCGTTTCTGGAACTGCCACTCCAGCATCAGCTTCCTGAGGCGGTCGCTCTCCTCCGCCGTTCGCTCCGGCTTGGCCTTAAAAAATAAAATATTTTCAGAATTGAAAATAAATTCTTTACTGCGATTGAACCAAAACTTGCTTTCATCCGTGCTCACCTGCAGGTCCTGGATCTCCTTGTCCAGCAGGTCCACTATGTGAAGCTGCTGCTGTTTCTCCGCCTTCTCGCGGGCGTCTCTCTTCCAGGGGTCTGGAGACAGACTGTCGCTGGACGTCAGCTCCTCCTTACTGATGGTGATGTACTGCAGGTCTCGCCGCTCGATGGTCCGTGGCTGCTGCTGCGGTAGAAGCTCCCTGATCACCGTGTCCATTCCTACAGTCACAGTCAACTGGTTGTTATTGACCTGAGTTAAGACGATCGTGCTTTTGTGTGTTTGGAGAAAGATCTGAAATGAAGTGTGTTACCGGTGGGGTGGGCGGCACTGGCAGGTGGAGGAACAGCCGACCGAGGCAGACTGGCCAGCTTCTCCGGTCTTGGGGGGGGAGGAGGTTGAGGTTGGGGCTGCGGGGGCATGTAGGGCTGAGGTGGAGCCACGGATGCCAGAGGGGGCTGGTGGTGAGGAGGAGGCATCGACCCTCCGTTGTTGTGAGGCTGGACGGGCATGACGGGGTTGGCCCGGATCTGACCCAACTTCCTCTCCTGCTCCCTCCTCTTCCTCTCCCTGAGAAGAAAACATCATCATCGTCTGAACAACAGTACATCTGCTAAATGTTTGTGTGAACATCATTTTGTACTGTGGTACCTCTCCTCCTCCAGCCGAGCCTTTTCCTTCTCATACCACCGCTGCTGCTCCTCGCGCTTCTTGCGGTCGGCCGCCTGCTGAGCTGCCGCAGGTGTGACGGCGGCGGGGGGCGGTGGCAGCGGCAGGTCGGACTGGGGGTCGTATGGGTCGTACACTTCGGGGTAAGGGGCTGGCGGTGGAGGTGGGGGAGGGGGCAGGTCGGAGCGCGAGGGCGTCTGAGCCGTATGCGGCTGCACTGCGTGCGGGGCGTTGGGTGTCTTCCATCGGCCCGGCCCCGTCTTCTGGTTGGGGTTTTTGTTGGAAGAGGAAGAGGAGGCTGAGAAGTTGAGGTGCTCCTGGCTGGACGTGGAAGACTCCAACGAGGAAGACACCTGAGGCTGAGGGGCCCAGTGGTCAGGACCTCCGACACCTGAGGACATTTACTTGATGAAGGTCTGAACTGACAGTTTTTTAGCTTTTTTCAATATTTAGATGATTAAATATTATATAATTTAAAACAAATATCAACAATTTCAAATGTTATTACATTCAGGGGAACATTTGGATGATGTCGAGCTCTAAGCTCTCACATAATCTGACTGTTCATCCTCTAATCTCTGTCTGTCGTCCCTTCTCTAAACTCAGCCTCTCAACCTCTGTAACCTCCATCTTCTATCTTTCGGTCGTTCTCACCTCCTGGTGGACCTCTCTGGTATTCAACATCTCTGTGTTGGTAGTCCAGACTCGGGTGCTGGTAGTCCTGCTGGTAGTGCGGCTGCATGCGCTCGTCTGGCCTCAGACCTCCTGGTGGAGGGTACAGCTCCTCCTGAGAGTGGTTAACCCGCTGAGAGGAGACGGAGAGAAAGATCGATGAAAGGAGAGAAGAGGGAACATGAGATAAAGAGCAGGAGGAACAGGGGGAAAGAAAATCCAGAGCCCTGGAAAATCTGCTGTATTATACAACAAACAAGGCAGGCAAGTAAAAATCAATACAGATGCTTACGCTCTAATTTCTAGACTCCCTAAGTATAAAATGTTATAATGGTCTGATCATATATAAGTAGTGGTTTCAACAAGTCAGTGTCCGACGCTGCTCTACCTGCATGCTGTTGTGGATGTTCTCCACCACAGGGAGGCGTTCTCTGTCCTCCATGCCCTGCCAGTGCTGTGACGGCCCCTGCCCAGAACCCACCACCCGATCCTGGCTCTTGGAGGCCGGGATGGTGAAGTACTCCCTGGGGTAGGTCTGGGTGGGGATGGGGTAGGCCTCTGGATGGGGAGGGGAGGGCTCATCCTGGTGAATAAATAATAAAGTCACCGTTGATAAAATAAACAGGGTTGAAGTGAACACGACAAATTATTTCTCATCTCTGGTCTAGATACTGAGCGTCCTCGAGTGTGAGTGTCACTCTACAGTCACATAATCTTGCTGGAACATTCCTCACTAAGACGCCACCGGCTTCAGTCGACCGTGGACTTACGTCTGCGCACAGGTTGCCGGTGGAGACGGAGGTGATCTTAGTGCCGGGTCCTCCCGGGTACACGGCCTTGCCCGCAGGACTCTGGCTCTGATCTGAAGGAGCAGGAGGACAGAGAGACGCTTTTAAATTCTGTTTCATCAAAGTGGAGCCGTATATCTGCCGAGATGTTATGGAAACATGACAAAATGTGAAATGTGTAATTAAGAATAAAGAACAAACACAGAATTAAACTGGTGAAATGATCTGATTTAGAGACAAACATATTTCAAGTTGGTGCAGTTCTTATATAACACGATATGTTCAAGTGTGTGAAACTTGTCTTACTGGCTACGTTGGGGCTGGAGCGGTGGTCGGCCCGGTTCTTAAGAAGCCGGTCCTCGCTGCTCATCTTCTTTGGTTCGGGGTAACAGTCCCAGCCAGCCTGCGGACTCTCCGGAGAGCCGTTCTGCACCGAGCTGTTGTACAACTCAAAGCCTTCGCTCTTTGGTCGCAATTTCCCGTTCTTCTCACGGCCGCGGTCCGACGCTGAGAGAGAGAGAGATGAGAGCGTGACAGTGTTTTAAAAACAGTTGAGCTTTTCTACGGGAAACTGACAGAGGATTTGGAATAACAGATTTGACCTGAGCTGTTCCCCACAGCTGACACATCTCAAATTAATCTTGAAGTACCGGGTAAATTACTTTAAATATTATTTGCAGAGATCGAAACCCCCCAGAGCCACAGAACGGATTTCTTTCCCCTGTGAGTGACTTGAGTTTGCCCTTTTTGCGCGGCCCTCAGTCTGTGGGAATCTACGTCTTTGCTCGTCCAGTTCCTGAAAGTGAAGTTTGCTGAAGACTGACCAGCGTCCTTCACCGCCTGGTGGTTAAACCTCCCCGTTTGCACCGTCTGGAAAATACTGCGGTCGAGGGAGTTTGTGAGAAACACCCGTTTAGCGTCATCCTGGACCACAGACGGGCCCGGCCGGAAGACTTCCTTAATGAATCTAGGGTCACATTCCAGCGGACAAAGACCAGCGCGCACTAAAATCTGTGCCAAGTTCACATGTGCAGCTTTTCATGCACAGACTCGCACACAGACACAAGCTGCTGCGGCCACAAACACTCATTATATCCTTCAGTCTGCTCACTGGTTATTTTTTTTTTTTACCGCTCCACAGAGAAGACAAGGACGCAGTGTCTGGACAAGTCTGCCTCTCGTCCATCATCTGCAACACTAAATTACTGCCATTAACTAATAGTGGAACTAACAATAGTCCATTCATTAGAACTTTGGAAAGTCCCTTTAAACAACAGAAATCTGCAGGTTTTAGAAGCAGAATCTATAAACCTTTTAAATTAGTTTTTAATTCAAGACGTTTAAATGTTCTCGATTGTTTGATCAGTTCCAAATATTCTGCATTTAAACATTTAGCGGGTTTGCAAATGAGATCAACTCGCAACTATTCGAATCAGTAATTAATCTGCTTCTTTTTACTAAATTAAAAGATGAATTAAATATAAAAGTAAGAAATACTCGTTACAGTGGACGTGTTTCAATGCACTGTCAAATCTGAGTCAAGGAAAGTTAATTCTGAAAATCTCAAAATCCAGAGAATGAGAGAGATAAAAACAGAATAGGGAATAAGGACAGAACTATAATAGACTAAATAGAATATTGTAATTCCTGACTCTGACTTGTAGTAACTTTAAAAGAATAAAAGAAACTAAACTTTTAGTGTGTGCGTGTGTGTGTGTGTGTGTGTGTGTGTGTGTGTGTGTGTGTGTGTGTGTGCTCACCTCTCTGCATCATGGGGCTTGGCTGGTTGAGGAGAGTAGCCAGTCCGTGGTAAATGGCTCCCTGCTTGGCGACCTCCAGAGTCACGACTGAACCCGTTCTCGTCATCAGCTCGGCCGCTCTGAACACACACACAGAAAAGAGAGAGAGAGAGAGAGAGAGAGAGAGAGAGAGAGAGAGAGAGAGGTCTCAGCTGGTGAGACGTTTACTACTTCGTGCAAAGTTGCATATTCCTGAATCACACACATTCTTTTGAAAATGATTATATTATTTATTATTCTGCTGATTAGACTGAATTAACAAAACACAAAAATGATCATATTTGAGAAGCTGGAACCAGAAAGAATCAATCAATCATCAGAGTGGCAGTCGATTAATATTGCGATCCCTGCTTCGAGTCATTATGTTGATTAAAAAATGTAATGATTCTGTTTTATTATAAATGAGAGGGGGCAGGGATTATATCTGTCAATGCTGTCATGTCACCTGAGTACAATCCCAAACTGACGGACACACACACACACACCCTGTTGTTCTCCGTGCGTCTGTGCACTCGGCTTTAAACAAATCCTTAAAATAGTTGAGGGGCAGATCACATGAGGTAATGAGCCATGTGCGTTTGATTGGATGGAACTCGGGGAATGTATCGCTCACCGAGGCACAGGCTCGAAATCCACATATGGAAATATCACAGGATGTTAATTAGAAACAGACCTGGAGGCTGTGAGTCATATTTAAATCCTAACCTGCTCAGTGGAACCCGCAGGAGTCGGGACAGGAGACGACCACAGGATGATACGACGCTGACGCTTCTGATGTAACGCAATTAAATAAATCACCTGTGAATCCAGTTTGACTCTGGGACGACACGCACACTAGCATCAGGTCTGTACATGATACAGAGCGAGAGGGAAAACTGGATTCATGTGTGTGGGGCGTTAGCTACTGAGCAGTTTCCAAAACACACACACACACACCCATTTTCTGCCCGTGCTGTGTTTTCCGAACACACACACACACACTTTTTGTTTTTACTTGGACAAACACGTTACTCGGCCTTGAGACGCCTCAACCCTGATGTTTGTGGTTTATCTGATGTCACGACGGCATCAAACTTCACTTTTCAAATGTTTTCAATCCTCAAAATAGAATTAAACCTGAGATTCATCATCGCACGACCATAAACACGTCAATCCGTAAAACGAGCGACGGGTGGTTGTGCGTGTAAAAGAGAAAAATGTCTCGTGCCACCCACGTTTCCCTTCCTGGTGTTTCTGGGCTGCATCACTGGATTATGTGATGGTTTAATTATAATGTTTAAGTGTCAGCTGGGAATTTCCCCATTTACAATTTCGAGGGACGAGGTCGCAAATTTATCATTTGACAAATTGCGGCTGCAGACGATTTATTTTTATTTATTTTTACCTCTCTTGTGATAGGCCGACCAAACTGCGCCCGTCCACACTTAACAACTGGTCACCTGCAGCCAAACGACCGTCCTGTGTGAGCACAAAGAGCACAGAGTGAAACACTGCGTTTCTTCCTCCTCGTATTTCTCTGTCGTTGCTCCAGTGTTAGTGTTTGTACGAACCACGTCGGCTGCTCCTCCTTTGACGACAGACTTGATGTAGATGCCCAACTTCTCCTGACCAGCACCCTGCAGACAGAGAGAGAGAGAGAGAGAGAGAGACGGGGTTAATACCAAATAAGATTTTAATACCAGGTGTGAACGCTATGACACCGTGATGGTTCCTGGTCCCAGAAGTCTCTGAGGTCCAGGTGAGCTTTGACTCTTCAGCACACAAATTACAGAGCAACATAATCACCTGATCTGACCAAGCAACCATTTTAACAGACATCGACATCGTGAGGTCTAATCCTGGCACATCGTAGATGTGCAGAGAGAGACGCACCGCTAACATCCAGCCGGACTGACTGATGATGATGATGATGATGATGTGGACCAGGAGGGAGTCCAGCACCACCAGGAATTTAAAAAGCACACGTTTATACACAGCTAATCCGGAGTGTTGACACTGAACAGAGCAGAGCCGGATTGCAAAACTGTGGTTATCTAAACACCTGGTCTCTTATCGGCGGCAACGAGTTCACCATCATGTCAAACTGGGATCTTTGTAGCGCAACAGGAGCAGTTAAACACATTCACAAGTGTTTTCTCTTTTAGTTTCTCTGCTTGCTATAGATTATTCAGTGTCACCGTTCGATGCTCAACAATCAAACCTCCCACTGGAAAACAGGAGATTCTTATTTCGCTCCCTAAATCAAATCCTTTTCTTTACAGAGCAACACAGACAACGTCAACATGCACATACAAGCCAGAGCGCCAGTGTGTGTGTGTGTGTGTGTGTGCGGTGTCTGTGGGGAGGCGGTTTAAGTGCTGGCAAGTTATCAGACGAATCACACGCTTTCTTTGCCATCTTGACATGTTTATCCTCAGAGTTTGTGCAACAGTAGAACCAGAAACCAGAGGAGCATTTTTTGAGAAACTCACTCAGACATTATTGGATTTACTCTGAGTGAAGATGAACTGGACGCGACGAGCCAACGAGAGGAGTTCTGTGTTTGATTTCTCTGTTGTTCTAAAGCAGGTTTGATAGAAAAAAACTATTTCAGAGGCACGACTGAAAACACAACCCACACGATGAGAATCGCAGCACGTCTATAAAGCTGCTCTATTAAGTGGTAATTGCTGCCATTCGTCAGACCTGGCAGAGTGACAGAGTCTTGTAAAGCAGAGGTTACGCTCAGGTTAATGACTCCTACTGTCTCCAGGTCACATTTAATAATAGCGGCGGTAATTTCTGAAGATAAACAAAATACAATTTGCAGCTCAAATACAACTACTTCAATTACTCACACCCACAATGGGCAGTCTAATCATAATATATACACAGACTTATATATAATCACAATAAACTGCGGCGTCTATTTCCAACAGGCTCCGTGCACGAGGCGCTTGTGTGTAAATGAGAGTTCGGTGTCTTCCTGCAGCAGGAAACAACTTTTCAATGAGCTGGAAAATATAAATACTGGGTTGAAACTTCAAGCTTGTTTTCAAATAACAATGAGCGTTGAGCCGCTTTCACGTTAAAATTAAACAAATACATTCCTGAGCTTTCACATATTCAGGATGTGACTGAAGGAGCTCAGACACGTACAACTACTTTCAATACTCACTCCAGAAATAATGAGAGATAAGTGCTTTTATTCAGACATGACTTATTTGTTTGGGTCATTAAGTATGAGAATAGAGACGTTTGCTGTGTCCCAGTTCCTCCACAACAAAAAGACAGCGGAGACTTCAGTCCCAGAAACTATTTGACCCCCGATGTTTCGGTTCTTTCTATGAATGTGTGTGTGTGTGTGTGTGTGTGTGTGTGTGTGTGTGTGTGTGTAATAATGAGGCTGGATTCATGCAGACACGAATTTCCTGTGAGTGACATTAAAATGAGAAAAGAACAGTGAATCACTCTGACTGTTTTATGTCTGTTGTACATTACAGAAGACATTAAAGAGCCTTTTTCAAATGGAGCCAAAGCTCCATGCTCTGTCCGTGGGGACGGAGGAGCCGGCTCCAGAGACACTTGTGGGACTTTTCCCTGTCTGTCGGCGTAACTCAACTAAACTCCGAATGTGAATATGAAGTTCTCATTGAAGCCCAGTTGAAATCGGTGCATCAGCACATATGAGCATTGAGCAGAGGTTCAGGACGAGCAGCGCAGATGATGGACGCTTTTTCAGGGGAGCTGGAGCGTATGAGTGAGATAGACAGCGGTGTTTAGTGGTGCACATAACTTTATCCACAACTCTGTGGATGATGTGAAATGTTCTTTCTGACCTTTGCAGGTCTGCGGCGAAGTGAAGCGATAAAACTCGGAGCTGACGTTGGAGCGTGGGTCAAAGTGAAACCAGATGTGCCACTCGTCAGAAACGTCGTCGAGCGATCAACACAAAAAACACAACGTTGTAGAAATCAACCGCTTCAAGGCGACGAAACATCTGCGAACGAAAACACCCACCACAGATATCCAGGCTTCAAATGTTTAACAGTGAAATCTTTAAGAACAGCTGAAAAGACCTGAGGCTGTTTGATGTCCTGTGTTTAAATGGGCAGCTCTGGTTTTTCAAAAAGCCCTGACACAACAAATCAAACGCACCTTAAAGCTGCCAGGCCTGTATTAGCGAGGAATGGCCTCAGGCTTCGTCAAACACGCTTCAGACGCCACGACTTTTAAAACGAAATTCACAGCCCCTCTATGACGTGGGTTAAAGTCAGTAACTTCTCTTAACACACAGACTTTTATCAGAGAGCGTTCCTGTTTTTTATTGACTGCTCTTTCACTGGCGACAGTGTAATAGGTTTTATTTGTTTTAAACGCTTTTAACTACTGTGTCATAAACTGTGTCATGTCAGGAAACACTTAAAATAAACAAAACACGAGACACGAGAGCCGGGCTGAATTAAACATCAGTTAACTGCAGCACAGTTACAGATGTATAGAAATGCTTTGTTTATTTATTAATGCCAAAATATTCCTGCAACTGTCTACGCACATTTGTTTCTTGATGTTCTGGGACATGAACCGCCGCATTGTGATTAATTACACTGTTGTTCCGTCCGACCATTGTTTCTAGGCAGCGTCGATAGTTTTAATAAAAAGTCCTGAGGAAAAAAAAAAAAGACCAAACAAATAAACAAATCTGAATTTGTACAAATGTCAATTACAAACACATCGTTCTGTGTTTTCCTCCGAACATCAGAGTGATGTGACATTTTTCTCTGCGTCTGACGAGAGACTGACGTCGACAACGAAACCACAGAGTCGGGGAGACGCTGCCGTCACCGCTCTCTGATGCGCGGCCGACAAAACTACCGTTAATGCCGACTGGCAGCGCACCAAGATTACAGCCTACGACACGTCGACGTGCCTCCTGGAGCCTCTCTGAGGTAGAAACCACTTCCCCACAAGAGGTTCTTCAAAAGCCAGAGGTGTTTAAAGGCTCTGTGCAGCCACAGAGGTGCTCTCTGTCATTTTGGTGGATTAGACATCTGTGTGCACGTACAGAGTCACTTTGATTGGCATCTCCATAATCCTCCTTTTATAATTATTGCTGCATCTGTTTGCACAGGATTATTTTTAAGCCTTTGTAAGTCTTCACAATACAACTGAAGTTTGCACCCAGCCTGAAGCAGAGGAGTTGTCTCATCAGATAAGAAACACTGAAGTGTAAAAGGGTTTTTTTTTTTTTAAATTGATCAAGGACTAAAAGGACGTTGGTGCATTTGTCTTTGAAACGTGCGGAGAGAAGAAGTAGTTTTCAGAAGTGTTGAGAGACAGAATAAATTATGATTACAGGTTATTGATTTGCAGCCACACTGATGTTTGAGTTTTATTATGCTACAGAATTTATGTAGTTTTCATGTGGGAGGAAACAAAAAAGCATAAAGATTTGAGATTTCATCACAAGCTTCAGTGAATAAACTGCAACTTGAATGTCACGTGGTCGAGCGCTCACTTTCGCCAACGCCCAACAGCCCCATTGTGACATCAACAGTGAAATTTACTAGATCCAGATTTTTATTTGGATCTGCACCAAATGACACTCACTCAACTTTATCGGCTCCCTGAACAAAAATCAAGATCCATTAATCATATTATTAATGTCCTGGATCCGCAACCAAACTTTTACGGATGAAAACAAACTCCTTGGCAGAAGTTAGAATCTTTTTTTTTTTTTTACTTGATTGATGTTTTTTCTCTAAGCTTCGCATTTTGATCGTGCACAGTTCTGTCAAATGCATCACGTCAAACCAAGCCAACGTGCTTCTCATCATGACGAAGCAGCGGCTGACGTGATAATCCGCCCTGTGCGCAGGTTGGTCTCTACCAGGAGCCACAAAGTGCACGTTTGCCCAACACTAACCTGACAAAATGTGGTTCCACCACAGACACACAAAGCGCCAAGATGCACAAATGTTTTCATCCACGCACACACACACACACCTTGTAAACACCTCCTGCTTCAGCTCTACAGGAAGGCCAGTGTAAGTGTGTGTGCGGTGCATCCTCCCATTGTTCCAGCCCTCACGGGGGGCGGCGCTCGTAGTATTGTTCCACTTCGAGTTTGATTCTGCACTCACACTAACAACCAACACTTCAAACACACTGGAGAAACACAACGGCTTTTTGGGTTTGGAGGGAAAAGTTCCAGGTTCTTGTAGTTCTGAACCTGCACAGAAGGAATGTTCTGTTCTTTAAAGCCGGAAGATAAATGAGTAAACACACTAACACGGGCGGAGGAGGAGAACGAGGAGGAGGAGGAGGAGGAGGGAGACCAAAGTTTCCTCAGCTCCAGCAGGGAGCTGTCCGGAGGAAAGACACACAATACTGCACAAACGCAAACACAGAAAGTATTTTAAAAGTACAAACCTGCTCAAACACACAGAAAACTCCAGAGAAACAAAAGGAACAAAGAGCTTAATATAACTTCTTAAACATTTGTCATATTTAATTAGACGGCAGAGACTCAACACTACTTAGGTAAACTGGTTTTACCAATGAGGGACAACAACTATTTTCAAACTGCAGTTCTCACCACACGAGATTATATTTCGTTCAATCAGCATCGTCCGAAAGAAAAAACAAACAGTCTGTTTCAGTGAAACTGGTGAAAAGAAGATAAAACACCTTCCTGACGTCATTCTCACAAAACTATCTGTTTTTTTTTTTTACCATCTGTGTTTCGTGTGTGTACTTTAGTTTAACCATTATCAGAACGTCCCTGAAAGCAAACAGTGACAAAGTGACAAACCAGACGGCCATCACACTGCCGGGGGAAAATCCACCCCGGACCACTATCCTCCACGTGTTCAATGTTCAACCAGCTGCTCGCTGCTGCACCGTGCGAGCCAGACCAGCGTGTTAGCAGCCAGAGGAGGTGAAGAAGAAACAAGGGACAGAGGAGTCAGGTCTATTCGCACCAGCAAACAAGAAACAACCATACAGAATCTTTAAAGCACTGTTACCTGGTCTTTCCTGCCCACCACAGAAAACCACATGCTGCAGCTGCTCGTTAGTGTCGTCCAGACCAGTTCACACTGGGACGTCCGGGGCCGAGACTTTTAAAATCCCAGGCTGCCCTTCAACCTGTTAACATGCAGCAACACGTCTAGAAGCTTCCAGCTACGCCGGATGGCAGCGATCCATTCGGTTAATGAATGAGAACGCGAGGTAAAGAATGTACGAGAAGTTGTGGAAATGTGGCGATGGTCATTTTTTAAAAGCCCACTGGAAAAAAATATGAAAAAAAAAGCAGTGTGGAGTTAAGAAGCTGTGAAAATTCCAGCGTGCGTGTTTTTTAAAAAAAGTTGCAGTAAATTCCTCAAATGTTCCCAAGTGCAGCAAAATTCCTCCACAAGCTCCTAATGACCGAGTGTTTGTGAAGAAGCAGAGAATCCAGGCGCAGGTCCAGAGGTGAAGAGTCGACTGGGACTCTGGCTGGTCGGACTGAGGTGGAGCGCTGCTGCTGCTGCTGCAGCTCAGACGCACACAAACACACACACACACACACAACTACACACACACAGTGTTATGTAACAGGACAGAGCTCAGACCAGTTTACCGACAATTCAAGCAGCTGTTTGACAAAATTCTCCCTACCTGACTTTCCCATCCCACACACACACACACACCCATTCCTCCGCCCACTCTCCTCCTTGTAGCTTCAAAAATAAACAGAGCAATGAGGTTTCCTCCGTACGTCCTTCCTTCCCACTCTTCCTCTCCACACACACACACACACACACACACACAGAAGAGTTCAGCAGAGAACTCGCTCCACTCTCAGGTCAGAGGAAGAAACTTTCGGCTTCAGGCGGAGAACAAACAGCACTGGTCAGAATGCTTCCACCGTCCTCTCGTTAAAAAAGCATGAGCGCACAACTCAAGATCACAGCGCATCGCCACAGTTGTTCTGACAGGCAACAACTCAGCACAACAAAAGTCTTTAATACAGAATTACGCAAACCATCTGACCTTCAAGCGCAGGGTTTCCCCTCGCTGCACCTTTAGCTGCTTTTTTAAATTTTAATTAAAATGTGATTTGAGACACAGCGGCGGCTCTGAGGCGCACAACGCGTACCTGCTCTGGATTTTGGGATTCCACACAAGCTGCTCAAATAATCCCTGATATATTTAATCCAGAAAAACACAAACCTGTTAGTGGCGACGAGGAGGGATAATGATTAATTTTCATTTTTTCCAAGCGCTCGGGATGAATGAGCTCACTGTCGTCCATGTGAAACTTGAGGCTGATGATGAGGTTGTTTTAAACGCTTGTGATTGATGATGGCTGGATTTACCACAGGTTTCAGTTTTACATATTTAATTTATCCTCTGTTTAGATCTCTGTTTCATGTGCTGGTGCAGGACCTTGGCAAATGAAACCAGAGCTGCAAACTAACACCAGGTTCTAAAATAGCAGTATAAAATTGGCATTGCTGGTTTATAACAGTGTCTGCATTCACTCGCTCTCTTTTAATGTTGACAGACATGTGCAGAAAAAAAAGTTTTTTTTCCCCGTGCGAGGGCTACAATATTGAATTTAGCCAGCAGGTGCCGCAACTGTGCAAATCTAATTCACATTTACTTTTAATTGGGATCATTTCTCTGATAACCACTTCTTGAGCTCACCTGCACCTTCTTGTGTTTCAGGGCTTGAAGAAACCAAGATTACGAGTAAAACCTCTGAAAGTGCTTCCAACCTAATTCATCCTAATTAGAAATGTCCCTCTGTGCCGTGTAGTCACGCCGATCCAACACAGTCAACACAATGTGTCACATTTCCGACAAACAAGAAGGTAAACGCACAAATTCTCCATTCATTTTCACGGCTGCCCTGAATCTGAGCAGTTGAATATTGACGCACAGTGTTGAGACGATTCATTCGCCCCCGTTTACTGAATTCATCAGAGGTGTGTGAACAAATAAGCGGACAGACGGCGGCACAACGCCCCGGTGAAGTCGGCCCACCCTGCTGCACGCTCACCGCCGTTAAAGACCAAAGTTCACAGGAGTCGTGCAGACGTTTCTCTGCAGTGTCACTGTTTAGTCTCTGCTCAGACACACACACACACACAAACACACGTCCAGGTGGCGTTTCCTACCTTGGCGGCCACGATGCTGAGGCCCATGCCGTTGTGCTTCTTCAGGGTTACCGTGACAACCTCCGGCTCTTTCCTCATTGGCTGAAAAGAGAGATGGACAGAAGAGAGCGAATGTTAGAGAGGATGAAACCTCCGGGATGGTTTTAGAACAGCTTGGGTGAAACTCGACGATCGTCCTCTGGCGTGTTCTGAAATGCTACGGCGGAAAATGAGACTGGAGTAAAAAGAGGGAGGGATGGGAAAAGGGAGGGAAGGAATGAAGGAGGCATAATGGGGAAAGGGGAGACCACAGAGGAACCTGTGGTCGCTGGAATCGAGTCAAGAATGAAAAACCACATCATGGCTACCCACACACACGCAGACACGCACACATACATATACACACTCCAGGGTTGGGTGGAGAGAGAGAGAGAGAGAGAGACACAGAAACAAAGACAGAGCAAGGTTTCCCACATCTTGAAAAAAAAGTATTCCGACAAAGGAGACTCCAAAGTAAATAAGCTCATGTCAGACGCTGACATGTCTCTATCGCACTGTGTATTTTTGTGCGCTGGCGTTTCGGCCGTCGTGTGTGGCCGGACGCCACTCGGCGGGGAGAGAAGTCGATTTTTCTGCAGGAACACCCAGAACCACACAAAGCAACAAAAAAAACCACACGACAACTACAATACGACTACTGCTGCAGCAACACTGCAGTTATACTAAGAGACGAGTCAGACGACAACAAGACCGCACTGACTGCAACTACACGACAATGGCCGCCCGGCTGTTACTTCCGTCGGAGGAGAAATTAAACCAGATGTCAAACCTGAATCTGACAGAGACCAATCACAGTGTGCAGCCTGTGATGCTAACGTGCTATGCTAGCTGTCCATGCAATGCTAAATACACAGGAAATAAATCAGATGAAGCTTCTGCCTCGTCTCTCCACGCCCCTTTTTGACCTGTAGTTTTTTTTTGATTGGCCAACACATGACCGTGATTCGTAAAGCTGAACTATTCTCAACTTCTACTGCGCACGCACACACACACACACACACACGCACAAAGTCTCACACTTTTAGTTCCCTCAGGATGTAAACAAACTACATCATATCCACTCTGCTGATGTGGAAGCAGGACAAAACTGTGTTCATGGCGACGGCCTGAACATGTGAACATGCACCATTAATCAAAGTGTGTGTCTGTTTCTGTGTGTGTGTGTGTGTGTGTGTGTCTCCTGCATTATGTCGCAACTGCAGTCATGGAATCGTAGAACAGGGATAAACAGACCAATTACAGAGGAAGTGGCTGTGTGTGTAAGTGTTTGTTCCATTGTGTGTGTGTGTGTGTGTGTGTGT